TCTCTCTCTCTCTCTCTGTGTGTGTGTGTGTGTGTGTGTGTGTGTGTGTCTGTGTGTGTACTCAAGTTACTAGGCTGTGGGGGGAGGGGGCGCAACGATGACACGTCAAAGTCGAGAAATGGATGGCGCGCAGTAACTACCTCTTTCAAAAAAGAGGGGACCATTCACTCAGCGCCTGTCGATCGGTCAGGTGCCATTAACCGCTCCATCGATCGTCACATGGCCCGTGCTCAAGGATGACAGCTAGCCTGTGCCCCATCTCTCTCTCTCTCTCTCTCTCTCTCTCTCTCTCTCTCTCTCTCTCTCTCTCTCTCTCTCTCTCTCTCTCTCTCTCTCTGTGTGTGTGTGTGTGTGTGTGTTGACTGCCAGGAAGCAGGATCTGCATCAGGAGGTGAATGGGGAGGAGGACGACGAAAACATGAAAACCCTTGTAGTCTTTCTAGCCTCAGTGCAAGTGTGATGATGGTGTTTCTTTACTGCACTCTCATCCTGAGGCTGAGGGATGTTGTGGAGAGGCATCCGAGGCAGAGGGATGAAGTGGAGGAGAAGGATGGTGTGGGAGGAAGACGTAGGAGAAGGACAGCATAGAGAGAACAAAAAACAGACATGGAGAAGAAGGAGAAAGATGAGGAGGAGGGACCATGGCAACAGAAAACAGAAAGCGAAAAGGGGATCGATAAAGAGAAAGGTAAACGGAATCACCATAGCCTACTCCTCCCCCTTTCACCATAGCCGCCTCCTCCCCCCTCCACCTTCTTCACGTTAGCATCCTCATCTTCCTACCCCCCTCTCGTCGTCATCATCATCATCACTTCATCTCTCCTCTCTCCCCTCCTCCCTCCTCCCATCTTATCTTTGAATCATCATCGCTTCTCCATTCACCTCCCTTTTCCGTCCTTACCTGGACGTAGGAGGGGGGGGATATTGGCCTCCATGGTTCCCACATGGAACAGGATGGAGACATGCAGAGGCTGACGTGAAGAAGGAAGACGCGGAGAGAAGGATGAAGCGGAGGACGACAACAGAAGAAACACGTGGGGGGAGAGGAAGACATCAACAAGAAATATAGGCAGGAAGGAGCATGGTGAAGCGAAATAGAAAGGCAAATCGGAATTAATAATACAGTAAAGAGAAGGAAAAATGAAACCACGATTCCCCCCTACGCCTTTTCCCATCCCGCTTCTTCTTGCTGCCAGAAACGTCATATTGCTACCCCTCCTCCTCCTCCTCCTCCTCCTCCTTCTCCTCCTCCTCCTCCTTCTCCTTCTCCTCCTCCTCAGCTCATTTGCTGTCATCTTCTCCTTTCTCATCCCCCCCCTCCGCCCTCTCTCTCTCTCTCTCTCTCTCTCTCTCTCTCTCTCTCTCTCTCTCTGTATGTGACACACGAACACAAAGCAACAAAACTTGGCGTAATCTGATCGTCCTGACTCAACCAACGATATCCTTTATGACACGCACGCAAGCAGGACCGCAATGACGGCAGCTGAAGCAGCGGGGGAGCTTAATATCTGAAGATGTTGGCGTTGGCAAGGAAAAGTCACCGCGGGGGTAAGTCATCATGGGGGGAAAGAAATGGATGAAGAAGGTGAAGACCGGGAGGGGGAAAGGGGGGGGAAGGGGGGGGGGGAATGCGACAGGATGTCGAAGGATGGAAAATCAGAGGAGGAGGAGGAGGAGGAGGAGGAGGGATGATAAGATCGCAGCTTCGTACCTTACCTCGATGGCGCGGAGCTTATCACCGCTCCGACGACGAAAAAAAAAAGGTTTAAGACTCTTGTTGGCGGCTTCAAGCATCAATCCAGAGCTGCACACTGCTGATGGCCCCCCGAGGCGCGCACCCCTCTCTCTCTCTCTCTCTCTCTCTCTCTCTCTCTTTCTCCGTGTGTGTGTGTGTGCGTGTGTCAAACAGAGCACCCACCCACGCACCCACACCGACACTCGTGCAAGCACATGCACGAATGCACCCAGGCACGCACGGACAAACACGCGGACACGCAAGCACGAACACTCGCCCACGCACTGCCGTTATTGTTCAGGAGGGCGGCCGTGGGCCTACTGGTAGGTCGACGGTCGAGGGGACGGCCTACCGGTACCAAAAGGCAGATTGTAGGTCAATCTGGGCCGTAGCCCTACTGGTACCCATCCGACGGGCTCGATTGCCACGCGCCCCTATGAGGACCCAACGGCCCTTATTGAGCTTTGTTACATCTTGCATTGCAATGATCTGGGTCATCGCACGGTAGACCCTGGATGGCCCAGATTGGAGAGACACGGCATGGGCGGAGAGGTGAAGTTGGGCGGGGGGGGACCGGCGGGGNGGCGCGTCGAAGACCGCAAGTGAGTTACCGGTCGTTCGTCTAACCGACGTCTGCCGACCGGCGACCGAGTCGTTGGCGGGAGGAACCGACAAAATTTAGCGAAATCGCCTGCGCGGTAGACTTGAGAGGCGGAATTGCCACGTGGCACTTCGATACGCCCACTGCCACGTGGTGCTTTGCTGTATTCTTTATTGCCACGTGGAACCCGGTGGTTTGCAGATCGCAGAGATACCGACCTAGCTTTCTAAGCTACTCTCGCACATTGAATTGAGACGTCTGCTTGTTGGTCGTCCGTGAAGAGTCGCCGTCGACGGCCAATCAGAGCGGAATATTTTCTTCGCATTGTCAACAAATAATAGTATGTTGCTGTAGCGACTGTTTACCTCAAGCAAGGTCTTTGAGCGCGGCTTTTTGCTGCCCTCCTCCTCCTCCTCCTCGAGTCCTCCCCCCCCCTCCTCCCACTCTTCGTTTTTTTGTGCCGTCTCTTTATTTTTTTCTCGGTTTTTCTATTTCAGTCTCTTTCTTTTTCCCGTCCCGTCGTCAGGGTTTTATTCTCCGCTTTTCCTTCCCCCCCTCTCTCTCTCTCTCTCTCTCTTTTTACTTTACGTCTCGTTTGCCTTTTGTCATTGGGATGTCATTGCCAAGACTCCGGCGGAGGAATAATATTTTTTTTCTTCGTCCTCTTCTGCTCCTTCCTCCTGCCTTGGGTTCTCCTTCTTTGTCCTCCTCCTTCGTGTTTTGAATTGATTGTGCCCTTCTGCCTCCGTTTCCACTGTCCTCATCCTCCTGCTTCTTCTTCTTCTTCTTCTTCTTCGAGATTTCCCTTCGTGCAGACAGCAGCAGCTGTCTGCGCTAATCAATCCTTTTCTGCGTTGGATCCGCTGTGTGCTCATTTGTAATCTCTCCTCTCTTTCCCTCTCAAAGCGCACGCTGTGCAGGAGAGACGCCTACCTCTGCACTCCTCTTTGCTATCCTATCGCTTCCACGTCGATTCGCGCATGCTCTTCGGCATCTTTTTCTTCCTTCTTCTTCCTCTCTTCTTTCTTCTTTCTTCTTCCTCTTCTTCTTCTTCGTTCTTCTTCCTTCTTCTTCCTTCTTTCTTCTTCTTCCTCTTCTTCCTTCTTTCTTCTTCTTCCTCTTCTTCCTTCTTCTTCCTTCTTCTTCCTTTTTCTTCCATCTCCGTCCTTCTTCCCCCTGCCTTCTTCTTCCCTCTTCCTTCTTCCTTCTTCTTTCTTCTTCTTTCTTCTTCTTTCTACTTTCTTCATCCTTTCCCTGAGGAGTGCCAGGAACGCAACCTGACCGAAACGCGTTAGGGAATATGCGCGGTTCTACTGAGAACAGTGCATATGGTGATGTGAGGTTTATCTGTTGAAGCATGAAGCAGTCCTATGGCCACTGATTTTTTCACTGTTCTTCTTGAAATCAATGTTCTTCTTTTGACCTCTGTGTTCCTCCTCTCCCCCCCCCTTTTTCCTTTTGAAACGTTCCTCTTCTGCTAATCATTCGTTGACTTGGCTATCTATAAGGCATATCCAGCTCCTTGTTCTCTTGTCGCCGTCCTCCTCCTCCTCCTCCTCCTCCTCCTCATGCACAGGTTCTCCTGCCCTTGCTGCTCGTTTTCTTCAGCCCTTTCTTCCAATCCGCGAACTCCTTCCTTCCTCCTGCTTGGCTCCGCGAAGTGCTTTCCCCCTCCTCCCTCTCCCCTCCCCTCCCTTTTCCCTTCCCTCCGTCTCACACCCCCCATTCCTGTGTACGAGTGCTGAAGCTTTGTCCTCCGCTGCTGGCAACAGCAGCGCAAGCTTTTTGGGGTCGATTCCATCCGCGTATTTCACTGTCTGTACTCGATTGGGAAGCGAGCACATGCCTAAGTGCACGCCTATTGCAGACGGGACTTTCTCTTTAACAATGATGACCTTCATAGTTTGTTTGCTAAATGACTTTTCTCTTTCCTTCTCCACCTCCTACTTCTGCATTCTACGACTCCGTCTCGTTTTCTTCGTTCTCTCGCCCTCCTCTTCCTCCTCCTCCTCCTCCTCCTTGTTGCCCTCGTTGCTCTTTTTCTCCTCCTTCCTCCCCTTCCTCCTCCACCTCCTTGTTGCCCCTTCTTGCGATTTTTTTTTCTCTCTTGTTTTTCCCGTTGGCTTCTCTCTCTCTCTCTCTCTCTTCGTCGGGGAATGTGCGCGTTTGAGCTTCTTCGTTACGTCGGTGTCGGTTTTGATGTGATTTACTCTGCAATACATGGATGGTTAGCGATTGACCGATTCTCAATGCTTCTTCTTCTTCTTCTTCTTCTTCTTCTTCTTCTTCTTCTTCTTCGAGATTGCTAGCTTCTGGTCGTCGATTCCAGTCCTCTCGTCGCTGTTTCCAGTCCTCTAGTCGACGTCTTCACTGCTGTCGTCGCTGTTTCCACTCCTGTAGTCGGCGTTTTCACTGCTGTCGTCGCTGTTTCCACTCCTCTCATCGCCGTTTGCATTCTTTGGTTAGTTGCTTTCCGTTAGATCTCCATCTCACTATTCCTAGTCTCCGATCCTGCCTGTGAAACGTGCCCCTCCCTATCTCCTATCTCGCCTGCTGTACCGCGCGAGCGATTTCTCATCACCCTCAAGATAGATGACAGGTGACGAGTGGTGGTCCCCGTTATTTCCGAAGAGGGATGTTGTGCTTAATCCTGAACGCTTCTTATCTGGATCTCTTTTTTTTTTTTCTTTTTTTTTTAATTATTTACCTCTTCCCCCTCTCCCCTCCCCCCCCCCAAGCCCACCCTTCTCATCTGATCCACCCTCTCACGCGATGCAGAAGCTCTGACTCTTTCCTTTACCTCTTCCCCCTCTCCTACCCCTGTCTCTTATACACATCTAGATGTGTATAAGAGACAGGGGGGAAGGGGGGAGGGAAGGAGGGGGAGCAAAGAGGGAAGGTGGACCGGGGGGGCAGGGGGGTGGGAGGGGGTAGCGGAGTTTCCGGTGGTGCAGGAGGGCAGGAAGAACAAAGGCGGGGAACGGGGGGGAAGGTGTGTGTGTGTGTTGTCATGTTGGCTATACACAACTCCACAAAAAAAAACATAGTCATGCCCAACTGTTTCGTCAAACTTCCACACTCGTCAGGAGGTTTAAGTCTGATAGTCTGGCCAGGATGCATTTGACTGATGAGCAATGACTCACCACGTCGCCGAAAGTGTGTGTGCGTGTGTATATGTATGTGTGTTATGTATTTACATATATGTATATTATGTATGTGTATATTATGTATTTGTATATTATGTTTGTGTATATTACGTATATGTATATTATGTTTGTGTATATTATGTATGTGTGTGTGAGAAAGAGAGAGACAGAGTCAGGCGTTGCAATCCACGACACTCGCTACAGCTTTGAATACAAAGTACGTACATTGTATTTGAATGTAACGTACGTACGTACATATGTTCAACCCTGTGAGTGTGAGAAAGAGAGAGACAGAGTCGGGTGCAATACAAATAATTTTTGGTTTTAGGGTCATGTTGAAATTCATAACCGAATTCGAGAAAAAAATAAAATATTTTTTGAGTTGTGAAGATTCTCACACTCGGGCAGACCTGGGCAGACGTGAAAAAAAAAAAAAAAGTTTTATTTTTTGTGGTATCCAAGAGGACCCCAAATCCAGGCTCATTTTTTTTTTGCGAGATGGCTATAAAGAGGGGGGGGGGGTAAATTCGTTTTAAAAGGGCCAAGGAGTTTACAGGGGGTGTCTTAGTGTGATTTTGTTATTTATCATCGATTATATGACGATTTCTAAAGTGACCGTCAACCAAAAGTCATTTGTATTGCAATTTTAAACAACATTTTTTTTTTGGTAAATTTTTAATTTATTTTTATTTTTAGTTTTTTTTGTGGGGGACAGGGCAACGACCTGAGTCGGAGATGTGGGTTAAGGTCTGGGTCTAGCCATGCAATAGACATTATCCTCTTTAACAAGGGGTCAAGAGGTTTAAAGGGGGTGTCTTAGTGTGATTTTGTTATATTGTTTTTTATCTTCAATTATATGAGGACTTTTAAAGTGACCCTCAACCAAAAGTCATTTGTATTGCAATTCTGCACAACATATTTTTTCCCCGATTTTTTTTTTTTTTTTTTTGCGTTGGGGCTGCTCAAAACCTTGCCTTGGGGTCATGCCTGGGCAAACACCTAAATGTGTTCCCGACCATAAGTTGGGTGCCCAGGTGCCTGAAAAAACAGCTAAGCTTTTGAGGGCATTTTGCTTTTTTTTATTTTTTTAAAAATCTTGATTAAAAAAAAAAACTATGTTGTATGAAATTTCAATACAAACAACTTTTGTCTGAGGGTCTTGAAAAAAATTCTAACCAAATTAAAAAAAAAAAAACGATGTCTGGTACTACAAACTCTTGCAAAGTTATACCCTAAAACTCGTTGTACAACGTACGTACATTGTATTTGAATACGTTATATTCGTAGACAACGTACGTACATTTTTTAGGGGTTAAGATAGTAGTACCCCCAAGCCTGCTTTTGTTGACCCTGAATTTCACTATGCACCAAAATGTTTCGAGCCTTGGTGCCATTGTGTTTTGTTTTGTTTTCACTTTTTGAAAATGAGAGGAAAAAAAAAAAACATAGAGAAGTGAAAGCAACTAAATGTAAAATTTAAGACTTATGTAGGAGTATGCCCTTCAAACGGGCAATACAACCCCGCTACAAAGAAAAAAAAATATGCTCTTGGGATATAAAATCATTTTGATACATAATATATGGTACATGTGAAAGTATGCCTTCCCAACGAGCTTTACTTCAAACACTATATTCACGACAGAAAAAAAAAAAAAGATCAACCTATTGGACATGGAAGTTTTTGAATACAAATTATGGAGTGCATGTGAGACTGCACCCTAAGTTGCAAAGTTGTCAGTTGCTCATTGAATATGCCCTGCTTCGCTGGCAAAGCACGAAAAGATAATGAAAAGGAAACACAAAAACAAAGACAACAAAAAATAAAAGTAGTTACGTTTCTAGGTATATGCGTTCCAAACAGTACTACTGTGAGCAAACCTCCTTCATGACCTTCCTCGACTTCTTCTCTTTCGACTCAAAGTTATTTTTTTGGGCAACCAGCCTACAAACCCCTAATCTAAAGGTTTGTTGGCCCTCCGCTGGACTCTCGAAAACTTCGGTATTTTGAGAAAATTGTAAGTTTTTCCCCCTAAAAAAAATTATGGCGGAGGTACAAGTGGTTTAAGATTTTAAGACCTCTTGTCGATCCAAGCCATTGGTCCGGGAGCATGCGACGTGCCATATATCAAAATTTTATTACATCGAAGAATTAATCTAGCCCGTCGATCCGTAGAACCCGATGCCCCGAAATCAA